TTAAAGTATGCGTCAGAAACCAGATCTGCATAAGCAGAACGGAAGATTATTCAGCTTTATTGAACGCGCAGTAAAAGGTAATGCTAGAAGTATTTCGTATCACGCAAGTAAGGGAAGGGGTCCGAAGCTCCGACCTACGCCATCGATCAAAAATCAAAGACGCCACTCTATACGCCAAACTATCGAAGATGAGATAGGCCGGACATGTAATGGGTCTAAATAACAACCGTTTGACAATAGCAGTTAGCGATTGGATCCCTCAAGGTGTACAGGAGCAAAGCCGCTGCACCCGATGGTCAGAGCTCTTCACGAAAACCCTAGAAGAAAGATTTGATGTTCAATGTTCGTCGAGCGAGCAGAACTGCCAGGCTACCCTTGCACGCGATAAGGACAAATGGCAGACCACTAGAGTCATTCATCAATCAACGGGAAGACAAGTGATGCAGGAGATTTTTCTCTTTCTATCTATACTCATTTTTACCTTTTCTATCTTATGACCCAACATCACATGTATCACACTGCGCGGATCCGAGCACTTCTTGCATTCGATTCGTTTTTTCGCAGCTACCATCGGCGAAGGTCTTTGAGCTGTTTCTGATTACGGCCTTGATTGTTGCTTGAAGATTTTTTCATCTGAATGTTGTGTGTTGGTAGAGTCAATGTTCCCTGGAATCTTGAGATAGGCCTGCTGAGGTGCTGTTATGAGAATCAGAGAGAATAGGCTTGTCCCAGACCCTGCTGAGGTGCTGTTATGAGAATCAGAGAGAATAGGCTTGTCCCAGACAAGTCTGGGACTAATGCCGTGAACCCGTAGGCATTAGAGGCGTGCATGGCCCGAAGTGGCTCCGAACTGGGGCCTAGGTAGGTGTGGGCCATTAGCGTAATAAATGAGATCACTACCACACTGCTCTACCCTCTTTCCAATAGACGTGGTTTTAAGAATCAAAGATAAGAAACTTAACGTGTGGAAATTTATTAGTTAACCTAATGGACTTTTCATTTCTATGTTTGTATTACCTTATATCAAATATTTTGAGGATCTTAACAGTTCTATCGTTTGATTGTCATGTCGCATCTGTCAACAACTAATGTCTTCAAATTTAATGTTCGGCTACTAAAAGGTTTTTTTTCATCTTTGTGAATGCCATTAAATGTTCATCCACCTGGTTCAGTCCTCACCACGGGCAGTCGCCAATGTGAATCGTAGGAAGCTTTTTCATGATAAGTCTGGCACTAATTTTCTGACACGGGAGCGATGGAGAAATCTATTTGGTCCACAGAAAATCGCGTCAGTGACCATGAGTGTATTATTGCCCATTATCTCTAGGTAGTGCGCTTCCCGCTATTCCCGTCATTTCAAATATAAATATGAATGCACTAGCGTGTTAAAATCCATTGAGCAGAGGAAAACAAGTTTAACACACGAGGGCCGTATTGGAAGATATAGAAAGCTGTCGTAGTGATGAGTCACAACACAGCTTTTAATTCTACTCATCGTACTTCAAAGTTTTCTCATGAAGTATTCGCAGGCTTTCTGTGCTGACCTACAGCCATGTTTTCATCTGATAGCGATAACCTAACCAATGTGTTGTTTTCGGGGTCACTATGGTCACCTAATTGCCCGCTAATCAGCGAGCGGCTTGAGCGGGTAAAGGTGAACTTCATTTATCCCCATCTCGCATTGGATCAGTAGTGCGAGCTTTGCTTTATAAAGGTTTACAGACAGCATAACAGTTGGAACATAACGGATCACACTTGCGCAGCGCCTATTTTCTAAACGGTTTTGAAGAGGATGTAGTGACGAGTGAGAATCCAAGATGCAAGTAATTTTTAGAAATTGTTTCAATGTCAGAGTCAAAGGTTGTAGTGACACAGACATCGGGAGAGGTGTTTCTGCATCAGGCTGTCGAAAGGTGGTCGAGAGCCTTTGTCTATAGTACGACTTATTCAGACATAAAGAAGCTATATAAAGAAGTGCTGCAAATTGGTACATATCGCACAGCATTTTCTAAGGAAGGACCACATTGCGTTCCGCCTAAGCCATGGGATTGCGAAGATGTGTCTTACAACGAAGGTATCCAAGTACTTCTGGACTACTATACCACTACTGAGAATAGCTCAACATACCACTTTTTAACAGGTTGGTACCTTCTGGAACAAACTGGAAAGGAGATTCGTGAGCCGTAGTAAATCTAGAAAGGGCAGTAACATGCGCCTACCTCACTGATGAATCATCAAACTGGTGAATTACTTGGTAAACAGATGTCGATAATTACATGAATGGCGAAGCCTGGAAAATTCTTCTGAAAGCGAGTTGTTAAAAAAATTAAGGTAGAGCTCCCGGCGTAGATCAATCTCTGAGGGACGCGCTATGCATTCGACCTCACTAAGCATCGTTAGAGGTGATTGAGTGCATATTTGACCTATACAATGACTCTCAATGTCGTACCGGTGTATAGCGCTAGTTCTGTTGCACTCCCAAACAGATCTCGTGCGAAATTGCCGACACCGAAGGAATGGCACATGGTAGGCCTAGGGCGTGGGATCGATCCTATGTGTATTACAGGGCGCGTTTAATCATTGCGCCACAGCGAATAAGAAATTTGCAACAATTTAGCCAAATCAGTGACCAGAAACCAATCCATAACGTGTCATAAAAGTCTGCAAGCCGGTCTCAAAAAAGTAGTTCAGAAGGTTGCTTTGAATTTTTAATATTCCTTGACCGTCTTCACATACGAACGATACCGTTGTGGAAAAAAATCCTCATCTAGGTGGAATGTAGGCGGTATCCGAAACAGCGAATGGAATCTGGTTTTCTAGAACACACGAACACTGTGGATCGTCACTTTTTCTCTAGTTCCTCAGAATGATTACCGCCATGTTTTTATTGGAAATCATTCTGTTTCCGGCTTGATTCATCCGAATTTTCACCGTTGTTTTGCTGGAATAATAGGAACTATCAGATTTATTACATCTACACGGTGATATGCCCGATATGGACAATATTAACACAGAGACAACAATGAGTAGAGCATGAACACTGGTTAGGAGGAAACCCTAATGAACACCTACACACACGTGAATGAAGGAAAAGCTCAAGCGAGTGATAGAACCGGTTAGAGTGAAAACTGCATGGAAGTCTACGGGATATGCTAACCTGAATGAGTCTAGCTAATCATATTCCACACAAACCAACTCATTGAACTAAGTTCACTACAAACCGGTATTCAAAACCACTGAGTAGAGAAGTTTCTAGCAATAAACATATGGATGAATACATGCTGGAAACAATAGAATTCTACTGAGAAAGATCTCCAGTGTAATGCTGAATAAAGCCACAGGATTGCAATAACTGGATCACATTAACTCGTGATAAACTCGAAATGGTTAAGAAAGTCATTTAAATTGAGAGAGCCAGATATCGGACAAAAGACACTGGGTTAAAATAAAGATTGTTGTGTTGAGTGAAATAGCCCGGTTTGCACTTAAATGTTCAAGGATCACTAATAAACAAATGAGTAAATATTTAAGGGCTAACTAGAAATTATGCCAATACACGACAAGCTAATATGTTTTCTTCGAGTCGTTTTTCCATTAATCACTGGAAAGGTTGGTGAGTTGAGTCGCTGATGTCTGGAAAAATAAAAGATCGACGGAAAGAAACACAAATAGCGATAATCTTGGAAAGACTAAGAAAAACCTACTGGGGGATGACTGCCCTTATGTGCGTGCTGCCGTTTCTGATCTTCCGTGATTAACGCTGAAATATCAAGAACTGGTGATGGAGCGATTTTTAAACCTTCACAGTAAAGTGTTAGACCTAAGTTCCGTTTACGTAGTAAATCGTTTCGCGCCTCCGCGCCGTCTAAGTCATCCACTTGGATATGAGGTAAAACAAGCCGCGCACAGTTCACACAGAATGAAAAATGAGAGATTGAGAGTCAATCCGTGCAATCTGGGTGAGGTCTTCGTCTACTTGATTCGTTTTTGAAATCTTGGAGGCACTTCAAAATGCCTCTAGAGTTTCGAATTCAAGTTTGGATCTTCTCATGAGTGATTTTATTGCAATGTTACGAAAATTTTGGGTCCAATAAATGCATGAACTTCTAAGGTCTGAGGGCGGTGAAATCTGGTGTAGGGTCATGCATGATGAAAACAAACTTGTTTATGGGAACTATTACGAATTCCATGTAATGCTAAACAAACGTTAGAAATTTTGCTCAATTAGCATATGGTTTATTTTGTCAGTATTTTAATGGGCAAAAGTGAACCCAGCTCGTTTTCACGAAGATTTCGGTAGCTCTGACCAAGTTTAAACCTTTGGACCTCGGTTCCCACTTCTAAACTGTGCTGATAAGTGACAAGAAACATTGAACTAAGCATTTTCATCCTTCCTATAAGGTAACTCCATGAAAAAAACGACCCTACTTCATCATATTTAACCAATGTATAAATAGAATAAAAATAAAGGATAAAGCTCTCGGCGTTGAACAATTTGTGAGGGATGCACCAAACATTGGACTTCATTAAGTTTCGTTAGAGGTGATTGAATGCATATCTGACCTTTAAAATGAGTCGCGGTTGCCTACCGATGTGTCGAAACAGTGCTGCAAACCTCGTAGACAAGTCTGGTACCTATTTGCAGACCCCGGAGAGATGGAAGGCTTGGTTGGCCATGGGCACAGAGACCGATTCCACTTGTGCGTTGCAAGGCGCCTTCGACCACTGCGTCACACGTGCCCTGATGTACAACTAACCTTAACTAACCCCCTAACTAGGTTGCTTTCGGTCGGCTTTACCAGCCGGAGTAGTTTTCACCTCAAAATGCCTAGCATTGTGGCATGGGATATCATGAAGACTAAAACTTATGAGAGTGATAATGGAAGGCTTATGGTGGTGGTTATCAGCTGAATGGTCTCGTCCCATGGAAAACTTCTTTCATCAAATTAAAAGTGAAATATATGACATTTTGGCGTACAACAAATTGCCACCAGTAGATGCTAGTTTGCCAATGTCACTAGAGTTTCGAATAGAGAAGTCAACGACGCTTGTTTAGCAGTACCTGTCAGACCTGTGCCAACCAGAAGGGCGATGGTCATGCTGATGTTGCAGACGAACGTGCTCACCCCATGCATCATTGCACCCATCGCTATCGTCAAAACGATACCAAAAATCTGAAATAGGGAGAACACTGCGCAAGTTACTGAGTCTCATCTCAGCATGAGCGATTCTTAACTCAGAATAACGCCAATTCTTAAAAGAAAGTTGAACTAAAAGATTTTTTTACTGATTTGAAAACACATCGTGCGAAAATCCGGAACAAATTTTTCAGCTACACTTTTCTGCTTCAGATGAAACTTAAAATAAAACAAATAAGTAGTAGATAACAGCAGAGGTGTTTCTATGAGTTATATGACCTTACTTGAGCACTGGAATTTAGCAGCGCACTTGTGGTACCCTCGGCAGCGGGAAATGTGATTTCAGCGGCAAATTCGAAGCCAATCGGAAGATAACCAGTCATGAAAAAGCTGAAACGATATCACATTCTTGCTGAATATTCTAGGGTAATAGTCATGATGACTGAACACACCCTAGTAAGAAGGCTATCGCAAAGACGATTATCAACGATCCAAGATCCAACGTGAACGTAAACGTGAGCATTCCCAAAGCGGAAAACAAGTAATCGAGCAGCGTGATCAATCTGGAAAGCATCCAAGAAAGCTACGGCAAAGTTACAGCTTACCAGCCAGTGTTCTAATTTATCTAACCTTTCTACAGATCTTGTCTTCTTCCATTTACTCCCTTCCCTTCTAAGTCTTTTTGGTCTCCCTCCTTTCTTCTTCTTTATCTACTTTTCCCTCTTATTTCCATTTTTCAAAAAACTGAGGAATTAGACATCACTTTTAATGTGGAACAGTTTGAAACGTCCTTTTTCATTCTCTGCTAAATCCCTCTTCAATTTAGAAGAAAACTTTCTGTTGCTGGTATGCTTCCTTAAACAGATCCCTCGAAGTAACACCTACACTCTTAATATTACACATTCGTAACATATTCGTTTCCTCACATCCATATTCTATGAAGGCTTTCCGATTTGCGTGTGGGTTTGGCTGCTGCTTAATGGTTTTTGGTCCTCATTAAAAATGCTAGTAGAGTAGATTCTTCTTGGAATTTTGAGATAGCTGTGCTACAACATTCTCTAATCTTTACCACAAGCAGCCGCTGATCATTTGTGGACCACAGCGAGACATTCTGGCACCACGTTTTCAATCCAAAAGAGGCGAGAGGATTAGTTCGCTTGACCTGGAGTTGAATGAGAGCTTGGAGGTAATGGACGTCATCTCAACAAATGCGATCTCGCGCTCCACCAAGTAAATGCGTATGATACAGCGGCATTGATAGAACAATAAACGGAAGGATGGAGTACAAAAGACCTTATCGTTTCATTTCTATTAGAAAAAAAGGCCGTCGATTTGGTTGAGACAAAATTGGTCATGGAAGATTTAGATGGCCAAGACGTTCCTTCTCGGGAAACAAATATTCTTTGTGAGGCATAGGAATATCAATAACCAGAACTGCTCCATCCCATGTTATAATCGAAGTAAAAAAGGAACACTATAAGGTGATACATTCTCCCTAAAACTGTTTACGGCCGCTTTCGACAGCATTATCCGGAAACCGGAATGGAATAACACGAGGTGAAAATCGATAGTCGGCATTTACACCACCTTCGCTTTCCTGGTGATGACATAGTTCTTATGAAATCTAACATTAGCTGTGCAAAACGAATGCTAGTCTGCAAATGCTACCTTGATAGTACTTCCTTGATCTTCTATTGGACCTCAAAAAAGCAATGTTCGTGGGTAATGGATTTGTTTCTTACTCTAAATTCACGCTAAACAAAGAGACTCTCAGGGACCATTTCAATTGTTTGACGATCAACGACGCGGATACGAAGATAAAAGTGATACATGTGAAGTTAACTTATGCTTAACTGAGCTTGTAAAACAGTGGTGGGAATTGGCAATGTCGTCCTGGAAATTATGGAGTACATTTTATTTGTCAAAAGATCGTCACCAAATTAGACAGTTCATCGAGTCGTTCAGTTCAAAGTTTTTCGATGAAAAAGTACAGATGAGAAGTGTCGAAGATCTATCACTGTCATTGACGACGATCATTCGAAGACGTTAATTGAAACAGATCGAAGCATAATGATTCCAGAAATTTCCGTAGGAACAATGCATGCGTAAAACAGGAGTTTCGGAACACCGGGGCAGATCTTCACAAAAATTTGAGAAATGAGGTCGCACCAATTCGACGATAAGCAGGAAGTCGTCATGTTTGTTCCGTACTTGCTACGTTTCGTTCACTCAAGGACATTCATAGACAAAGTTCTAAAGTATCAAAACCATTCGCAGATCGGAAACCTTCGTGGAAAACGGGTTTCAGACAACAAATTAAAAGAAACTAGTGCTAGGATCCAGACAGCAGGTAATGTCGCCTGGTATAGATAGACACATAGTAAATAGCAACAATAATAAAAAACGATTCGGGTCTCACACGAATATAAAGCCTTCAGAAATCGTGATCTAGTGAACCAGTTCTCAAGTTTGCTGATGTTAACTGAAACACGAACAGACAGATATTCCAATGGTCTCCCAGCATCGAATCCGTTTTATTTTACAACTTTCATTTTTCAGAACCTTTCGATGAGTACTTGAGAAAAAATAATAATTAAATATAGGAATCGTCTTGGATGAAAATAGCAAACGAATAATACACATATTCAAAACGAAGGGCAAGTGTGGCGCAGTGGTTGAAGGCGCCCTGCAGCACATACGTGGAATCGATCCCCGCGCCCATGGCCCACCAAGCCTTCCATCATTCTGAGGTCGGAAAATTGGTACCAGACTTGTCCCGGAAGGATAGTAACACTGGCCCTATACACCGGCAGACCACCGTGGGTCATGGTAAGGGCCAGATATGTATTCAATCACTTCCAAACGATGCTTAATGAAATCGAATGCATGGCGCACTCCCCAGGGATTGATCAACGCCAAGAGCTTTAACCTTTTTATTTTTATTCAAAACTACGTAAAGCTCATTTATAAGCATGGAAATTACTGTGATCTATGAAATTGGGTCGTTTTCATGTGTTTGCACAACAGTGACAAAGGACGAGTGGTTTTTGTCAATTTATGGAATCACAATATTTCACATTCACGGCCGCAATTTACTAAGTGGGACAAAGAAGTTTCCCATTGTGTTGTAATAGAGCGCTCATCCAGAGTTTTTTAATCTTCGAAACACAAACAAAGTGAGAATTCTAACCTTTTCATTTACTGCCTATTCTTTTTAACGGGGGACTATGTTGCGAAATACAACTATTATAATACTGAGATGTTTGCAAAACTCCAGACCGCAGGTGTCTGCGGTGGGGAACGGACGCGCTATTGTCCTTTCCGGGGAGTAACGCGTTCACCACCACACCATGCGGGTCTTTCGTTTCGTCTGTCTCTCAGCTAGTTCTAGTTTTTAGCTAGCCAGCCTTGTCTCTCAGCAAAGTGAGGATTGTTCTAGAAACTCTGGACATACTTGAACCGTTTGAACTTGTCAAGCAAGAAACCGCCGAGAACGGAGCCCAGCATGCCGGCGACGACGATGACGACGCCGATCTGGCCGATCGCCACCGACTCGGTTGGGTAGTACGGCAGGACCATCTGCGCCAACAACGTGGACACCGCGTAGAACACGCCGGTATTGATTCCTGAACGAGAAACGACTGAGATAAGAGATAAGACAGGTCGGATATGGCATATGAGCTGTTCACCGTTTTATATCTTCTGACAACTATTGAGATAAACCCAGAATCGACTTTCTATTAACCTCGGCATTGGATTATGAATTCGTCGTTTTCTCTCTGAGCGATCGCGAGGTTGTTAAACAGCATACGTTTCCTTCCATACAATAACACACACGCAACACAACCGTAGTTGACTTTTCGGCAGAATCGCCTTCCTCAGAGCCTGGAAGGGTACACTAATACGCAACTCACTAGGTCAAACGCTTCAACAGCACAAACAGAAAAATGAAAATCTGCGCGATAATTACAAGATCTACGGCTTCTCGAAAAACCCACCGCTTTTTGCACCTGTCTTCCACCGAGGAAGGACAGCTGCTCAGAGTCGCATATGGTTGACGACTGCACAACCCATATTAATGATAGATGCGAAGGCACGGGGCGAGACAGGCGTGATCTCTGGGCATTCCTCCCTGCTATTCATTGTAGAATTTTTAAAATTTATCCAAAAAGCCTCGAGGAGTTTGCGCGTCGGTGTTTAAGGATCCCGTGCGAGGATAGTTGCTCTTATGTCGATATCGTCTCCGCTGTGCTTTTGTAACCAATGCATTCCTAGTGGTGTGCCTCGTCTTGCTTTTCGTTTGCCATCTAGGCGCTCTTTTATGCGGATACATAAAGGTCTGCCCGTTTCGCCGATACATTCGTCTCCGCAGGTACCACAAGAGATCAGGGATATTGTACCTGAGCCCATGCAGTCACCGTCCCTGCCATAAGGGCAGATTCCGCAATTCTGTGTTTCATATAGATATATAGAGATATAGGTCGTATAGGCGGTTACGAACTGACTGGCGACGAAGAGTATTCGGTGGCATTTCAATTATCGCTACCGATTTCTCTAGATCTGCCCCTCTTAAGCATCGCTTTATCGCTATACTTATTTCATCACTAATAAAGGGCAAGATAAACGGAATTTTGTTTCGGCTAAACCGTTTGATTTGGGGCGTCGCTTTCCTTTTAAACTTATCCCATGGGGTTACTATTTCGTAGCCACTGGAGGTGGCTATTTGCCGAGCCAAGTCGTGCGATTCTTCCTTTAGTTCACCACTTGAGCACACAGAGACGGCTGTTCGAAACATGTTTCTTACAAGCGCCCTCTTTGTGTGTGAAGGGTGGGAAGTGAGGGAATGAACCAAAATATTTTTATTACTTGGTTTTCGGTACCATTTTGTCATGTAACCGCTATTTGATAGGTTTATTTGAACGTTTAGAAACGGAAGCCAGTTTTCTCTCGGTTTCTTCCGGGTGAATTTAATCTACTCAGACTCGTTCAATAATTATAACAAAACAATCATCTATGTACCTGCAGTAGAGTAGCCGTCGATGCACCAAGAAAATCTAAAGTCACCGTATGCGGGGGCATGACAACACTTGAGAGTGCGCGCTCGGTACTAGAATTGGATCCAAACTTTTCACCATCACAGCCCATTTCTAAAACAACCGTGCATAGAATAGCATCCAACCTCTATGAGCTTCAAGATCGACTCCGCTATCAAGCTAAACAGGGGACATCAAATAGAGTTGAAAATCAAGGGGCGGCGGCATTACCACCGTCTCCTTTCCCTAGAACGTTTTTTAGACAGCAGGACCCTATCGACAGAATTGACGTAAAATTTCGCATGTTTTCGGACGGTGTTCACAAGACCGTTGATGATTACCGCGATAGAAGGTTTATCTCTAACCTCACAGCCGCACAAAAATGTGGCTTGCGAGAAACTAGAGAATTAATAAACTCGAAAACAATAAGATCGTCTGTTAGTGGTAAGGGGGGAGAGTTCGTAGTTATCCCTCGCCAGCTGGATGTTGAGATAACTGAGGAGCATCTAAGTGATGTTACCTTTTATCGCCCACCATCTGAAAGGGAATACAAAAGTCGACACCAAAAACTAAACAATCAGTGGGTCAAAACGGCAAAAGCGGCAGGCTTAAAATCATCGGTTATTTCGCACTTTAAAATCGATAAACCAACATGCCCTGTTCCATGCCTATCTATTAAAATACATAAATTGGTGTCACCTGATGATCTTGCGTCAACCAATCCGTCATCATTTAAGGTTAGACCTATCATCAGCTGTGTAGACGGACCAACGGATAGGATAACCTGGTTTGTAAGCCTAATACTAGCCCAGTTGTTTAAACATATCCCAGCTCACCTCACGAACACCCAAATGTTCCTAGAACGTCTACGTAACGCGTCTCCTAATAACGCGTACGTGATGGAGTCCTTCAACGTTACCGCGCTGTACACCAACATGTCGAATGACTCCGCAATGCAAGCCATCTTCGAACTTCTTGTTGAACATGAAGGAAGAATAAATATGCATGGCTTGTCCATCCAGCAGCTAATGGCACTCTTAAAGGAGTGCTTAAACTACTCGATTTTCAGATGGTCTGGGAAATATTTCGCGCAAATAAGGGGGGGGGGGGTTGGTAATAGGACAGCGACTGGCACCAAACCTTGCCCCATTGCGTTCATGTCTAAAGTAGAAGCCCCGTTCTCGGTCTCCGGCCGCTACTCTATTGCAGGTACATAGATGATTGTTTTCTAATCTACTCTACGCAAGAGAAGATGGACAAATGCTTTGAATTATTGAACCAGTCTGAGTACATTAAATTCACCCAAGAGAAACCGTGAGAAAAGTGGCTTCCGTTTCTAAACGTTCAAATAAACCTATCAAGTAGCGGTTACACGACAAAATGGTACCATAAACCAAGTAACAAAAATATTCTAGTTCATTCCTCCCCTTCCCACCCCTCACACACAAAGAGGGCGCTGGTAAGAAGCACGTTTCAAAGCGTGATCTCGCCCCGTACCTTCGTATCGATCGTTGATGTGGGGTCGTGCAGTCGACAACCATATGCGACTCTGAGCGGCTGGTCTTTCTCGGTGGAAGACAGGTGAAAAAAGCGGTGGGGTTTTTTGAGAAGCCGTAGATCCTGTAATTATCGTGCAGATTTTCATCTTTTTGTTTGCGTTGTTGAAGCGTTTGACCTGGTGAGTTGCGTATTAGTGTACCCTTCCAGGCTCTGAAGAAGGCGATTTTGCCGAAACGTCAGCTACGGTTGTGTTGTATGCGTGTTATTGCATGGAAGGAAACGTATGCTGTCTAACAACCTCGCGATTGCTGAGAGAGAGGACGACGAATTCGTACTGAGATGAGCATACATCAACCATGGAATTGAGATCATTTTCTAGTTTCCATGCTCTCAACAGAAGAACATGCCGTACGTTTCGTAGCTCGCTACTCAGCTTGCCGTTAATTTTTACTTACCAGCTTTGGGCCTATTTCGACTAGCGCCTAGTGATCTCTTTTAAAATGGTATCTCTCCTCCTATGTCTGCCTGTCTCTCTCCGTCTTTATCACTTTCGATAATAGCAACCCTTTATGCAGTTTTCTTTCATCCGTTATCGACGCCTCTAGCAAGTAGGACAGAAGTGTCCATTTCTATGTTAATTGTTTAAAAGCAACATGTTCTAGCATTTTTTCCTTTAAACAGAGCAGTACTGCAGTAGAGTTATTTGTCATGTAGTGGGCCGATGAGCAACAACCTCTTTTGAAACCAGTTGTGTTTGCCATTTTCTCTGTTAACTGCAACTTCAAAAGGAAACCCTACATGGTTGCGTTTCACTTTAGAAAAAGAAAAACATTGTTTGCATGGGAACAACGACGTAGCAAATCGAGTGTTTCGAATCGAGCAAGTCGTGGTGGCGGATTAATAGATGAAGAACAACTAGCACAGTCATAAGAATCATAAGGCTATTGGCATGTCTTTTTGCTTGAAGAGAAAAGCATGAATACTTCGAAATTTAGAAGTCTCGCTGTTGCGGAGATACGTGGTCCGATCGAGCTTAGTGTTGCAAGAAGTACAGTACGGAAACTACATGTAGCAAAAAATAGCTATGAAAAGGCTCCGGGTACTTACTGCTGCGCAGTCTTTCCACAAAGCTTTGAGGATTAACTGCTTTTAGAGCTTTTGTAAGAGTGATCTTTACTTAATCGCACATAAGTCTCAGTATAGCTCGTATCCAGCAAAATTACATGGGTCTAAAGTTACCATAAGTAATGAATAGAAGTAAGAAATCCTTGCTCGTCATGAGGCTTAGCAGCGTCTTCCAGAAATTAGGACCAAGTGCTTTCTCTTCTTGTGCGGTGATCTGCGCCAGACTTGGTGGAGTGGGCGGTCGCGCCGAGAAGACTGAAAGAATGAAAACGTCAGTTGTAGTATAATCAATTTAGGAATAAATCTATGTTACTGGACACGACATCCTTCAACGATACAATATGGTCATTGATTTACTTGTTTGAAATTCTATCCGGATGAACCATCAACTAAATTAATTATCTAAATGGGTAAGCGAAAAGGAGAAAATAGCCCACAAAGTATGATAACAGTGAGAACGGCCGTATTCAGCGTAGCAGAGCAGAGGAATAAAGTCCTGAGATCACTCGCCACCTCGTCCACTGTTCCGTTTTGCACCAAAATTGGTGGGACCAAAAACCCAACGGCAATTCCCAACTGAAAAAGAAAACTCCAAAAAAGGGTTACCATTTGCATTGTCAGGATAGTAGACATTGTCTTACTGTTACATAGAGCAACAGTCAAAAATGTCAGCAGTGGTTTTCTTCTACCTATCCCCTATCTTTTCTTCGCATAACTGCTTCTGCTTCCAGAAATAGTATGAGATGAGGTGGGTAATTGAAAATAATGGAATCGCTCATAGATTTCCTATATCTTCGATAGAGTCGTTAGAAGAACGAAATAGTCATTGAAATACACCAGTTTCCTAAGGAGCAATTACTCCGACTTGCATCACCGGCAAGTGAAAGAACAAGAATCAAGTTATTACATTTTATATTTCCTAACATAGAGAACTCACCTGGTTACCGAATACTCCTGCAGCACAGGCTGTGGACACCTCATCCGGGCCGAACCAAACCGCTGCCAGCCGGGGAGGGATCCCAAGAGTGAACATCTGTGAGGAACCCACGATCGTCTGACCGATAAATGTAGTCCAGAAACCATCTGAAGTGGTTTTTTTGCCTTTTTCCACTTCTATACCAATTATGTTTACAGGTTTTTTACTTCAGTTTTAAATCATTTTGAAACAACCAAATATTCCGATGTAAGAAACCTTTTAAAAACACCATTTATGGGCCTACGCATTCGAAGAAAGAGTGAAAGAGAAGAATTAGAAGGAGAAAAAGTTGAATGAATGTATAAATGAAAAGTATTGTACACACATGAATAGAATGAGCTCTCTGTTATTAAATAAAGTTGTGTTGGAACAAGGATATCTTTTTTCCATAGAATTTTTAATACGATATAACCACATCTCCTATATCTCCTTTGATATCCGTAAAAATATTCCAGTGATTTTCAGCTATTGAAAAAGGAAGAAAAGAAGATTTTGCTCACCTGGATGGGCGGACAACATTCTAATCCATGCCCCGACTGCGTTACCCGTCGCGCCCATCAAAATCGACATTCGCAATCCGTATCGATCAAGCAAATAGCTAAATTGAACACATTTTACTCAGTAGCAATCTTTCCCATTTGGTAGGCAATTTCTAGCCCAATGCTTAGGTATGACCAAATATGAATGACTGGATTCAACAATATTCCACCGACACAACGAACACCATCGAAATTCATCTCACGTGAAAAGCACCTAGGTGGTCCCACCCACACCAACACGGTTCTGGAGAAGGCGAAGGCGCCGAAACATCAACCATCGACCAAGAGCAGCAACAACAACAACAACAACAACGACAACAACAACATTAACAACAACAACTTCTACCAACAGCTCAACAAGGGCAGTTCGTAAGAATATATATAGATTATCGAAAATCTAATCCTCTTTCCCTGTGTTCACCTAAGCCAACCCATCTTGTTAGAATATATACTTGGTAGAATTTTATCCAGTTTCATTTCATCTTCACATTAGTAGCCCACACGAATACCATTGTCAGTACATGCGAAAAATCGTACAACTGAGAAGAATTTTAATTGTTGGGAAAATAAGGGCAACCAGAAAAAACGGGTGATCTATGTGAGCGATTTAAAGGACCACAGATAGCGTCTAACAAGATTACTACAAGGTTATTCAAAGCTCGAATATTTATTGGACTAATTAACTAAGCTCATTCTACAGCAAAAGCCCTCAGAGATTCTAAAAGCATTGAAAAATTCCGACATTAAACAATAAGCCCAGTAATCGCGAGGTTTTTAAACAGCATACATTTACTTCCATAGAAAAACACAATACAATACAACGCTAGCTGACGTTTCGGCAGTGTCGCCTTCTTCAGAGCTGCTTTTTCGTGACTTCGAGGCAGTCGTCAACCACATGCGACTATAATCAGCTGTTCTAAACTTCCTCATTGGAAGTCACGAAAAAGCGGCTCTGAAGAAGGCGATACTGCCGAAACGTCAGCTAGTGTTGTATTGTATTGTGTTTTTCTATGGAAGTAAATGTATGCTGTTTAAAAACCTCGCGATTGCTGAACAAGAAAACGACACATTCATATTCCAATGCCGAGGTTAAGAGAAAGTCGATCCTGCGAACTATTACAAGATGTACCAGCAAAATACTTTCGAGTTGTGAAGAAATAAGCCCAATGTTGACAGTTGTTCGTTTAAAAGGGATAGAGGATAAAGCTCTCCGTGTTGATCAATCCTTTAAGGATATGCCATAGACTCGACTTCATTAAGCATTTTTAGAGGTGATTGAATGCATATCTGGGCTATACAGTGACTCGCGGTGGCCTATCGATATGAGTCCAGTCCTACTATCTTCTCTGAGAAGCCCAGTACCAAATTGCCAATCCTGGAAGGATGAAAGGCCTAGTGACTCTGGAGCATGGGATCGAACCCATGTGTATTGTAGGGCACCTCTAACGACTGCACAGTCCGCAGCACAGATGAGTGAGTGGATCTAAGGATCCAGACTCAAAGTTTCACTCATTTTCTTTAGACATTAAAATGACATAGGACAATGGCGAGGTCTTTGACAGCTAAGACATTTTTCGATCTGTATTGAGATGACGAGTCCCTACTAAAGTTCTGGATTCAGTACGTTTACTTAACGGTCGAGTGATTAGAAACCATAACTGGCTTTCGCTGTAAACAATAAGGAGATGAGCATGGAATAATGCATTACTGAGTGCTCGCATGGTAGTGGAAGCATCCTGTGCTTTCGATGTAGTGGTTTGAAGTTTTTCACAGCGGTGTTGACGAGCGCCGAGCAAACAGATTTGCACTCTCAGAAAAAATGTTCTTACAATGTCAACAGAGAAAAGTTCACAATTGATGCCAGCTCGAAATGAAGAGCGAAGAGACCGTAGACAAGCAGTTTTTTTTCTTAAGAAATCTTACTTTGAGATAATCCCATTCCTGTTTGTACACTGTAAAAGGAAGATTTGTATCGTTGTTCTCACATTGTTAGCTACTTTTCCACAATTTCTAAGCAGCGGCAAAGTCTCAGATGGTCATCCACTATTGGGGGAAATGGCCTGTAGTGCCCAGGAAGCGAAAGGTAGGAGATAGGTGATAAAGCAATGGTCCCCACGGTGATAACGGAGATAGGAAAGTACTGTACAGTGTTTCCCTAAGTCCAACAAAATTTAGAGGAAACGTAAGGAGAAATGTAAACATTTTGTAGAACCCTTTTAACGGTCGGTAATTCTACTCCGAGCTTTCATTTTCTGATAACATAACAAGGCATGGAAACCCACTACCGTTAAAGAGAAACGAAGTATATGATAAGAATATGATAAGCACATAAAGGAAAATAAATTTTAAAAATAAAAGAAAGAAAAAGCTATAATGCTGTAAATTTTTTGGAACAGAAAGTTTCTGGAGACTAAGTAAATCATTTCGATGAACACAAAATCCAAACTTGTTAAGGAACCACTAAATGAACCGTCCCATAGAATGTATTTACACTAAACTTCAACCTCGTAAAAGTGGGTTGAATCCTACCGGAATCGAAACGATTCTATTCTCGATCATCTTCAATGTTCCGGTGAGGTGAGTTTCTTAGCGGAAGGCTGCTCATCTACGTATTCCCGAACTCAATTTGGCAACCATCGTCCACGAACTTACTCGAATTTGTGCACGATTGTTCTTAGTTGAGGAATTTTGCTTCTTTGGGAATTTCTTTCAGTACTGACCAAGTAGATTAGCTTTGGATTCTTCGGCAGCTCTGTTAGGTCGTTGCCAGAGCTTCACCATAAGGAACCGTTAGTTTTTACGGAGCTCTCCTCGCACAACCAGTCCAAATTCGCCCCATTTGCTCCCAACTGGAAGTACTGGAGACCTTGATGGCTCAATGCGACGTTGTACCATCAATGCCGCTTGTATTTCACGTCATCTGCAACTACTGCGCTTCCCGCGCCTCCGATATTTTAAATTTGCTGCCGAACAGATTTGGAAAAATGGCAATAAACACATGGAGAAACGTTAAACAAACGAAAGAAAAACAAACGTTTTCACTTCGAGAAACAGTTCACATGTTTTTCTATCCTTCTCAAAATTACGACTTCTGGGCGACATTAAAAGATATCAGCAGACTTATGATTCGAGAGACGAATTGGTAATTCGCGTAACACTTGAAAGTAGGAGAAAGGAAGAAAGAAAGGAAAAGAAAAGAGCAGGAAACTCACGCAGCAGGGATGAAGAGCACTATGTAGGTGGCCATGTAGATCATGCTGGTCCAATCGACCGCCGAGAAACTGAAATCGAGCTTGTATGTCAAGGATTTACTCGTTTGCTGATTAAGCAGGGAACAACTATGAACTGGAGAAAAATTTGTCAAGTTGATTACGATGAAACGAGCACTACAATTTGCCTAAGATGTGCAGCATTCTCTGGATCCTGTAATGATGAAAACGAATCATCCTTAGATGAATTAAGTTCGAAAGAATCCTGAATGAAAATTAGAAGCACTTTCGATTCCAATTCCCTTATTAAGCTCAAATTTTAGGCTCACAATGCAATTTTACTTAGCATTTTGTCTTTCTGGTGAAACTCGCTCCCTGATGCCCGTGAATGTGCAAAAACAAAGTAATAGTTAAAAAAATATCTTGATGGGACAACTGTATATGATGAGTATGGGGCGGAGGGCCTCATCCGTTTACACGCATTTTCGCCCTTAGTCCTCTTTCTCTGTCTTTGTCTCTGTCTCTTTCGCTCATTCGTAAATCCATAAAGGCAGTTATGACCCCATTCTGTGAGTGTTCTCTGAGGACGAGTTTGCCCACTTCGATTATTCATTTCCGACTGGCGTCTATGGAGAGACAAGAAAAAGTTCGCCTTTTGTCTGGCCTCCCTTCCATGTCTTCTGCAACTTTCGCTGAGCTCCAGAAGTCACAGTAACCACATGAAATTCACCAGGAAGGCCAAGCACTCCGTCCAGCCAGCATGCGCTTTAAAGTGGACGGCAATTTTTTCCTTGCATTGATCGATTAGAGAAAAATGTTACTTTATCAGTGCATTGTGAACTTACGGAGAGCTTCCAAATGGACTGATTCGTAGTATTAAATTGGATTTTAACCACGTGAGTGCTTAGTTTTCTGTGTATCGTTGACCCACGAGAACCTTTAGCGCCGTTCACTACAATAGCTCTTTCTACGCATTCGCGTCAATAGCCACGGATTCCAACTCGCATGTAGATGTTCATTGTGGCCGATACGTATTGAATTCGATACGTTTTCTTTTCAGTGAAAGTGAAGGCACAAAGCACTTTTACAACACTTTTTAGACTCATTAGGTAGCTCGTTTAATGCAGATGTTCTATCATGACTAGACCAAAGAATTCTACCTTCAGTAGCATGTTGCGAAAAACCTTTTTTTTCGACGAGTTTGCACGTTTGTTTGCATTCTATAGCGGATGTTAGCAGATTTGTTACAATGTTAATCGTTTTACACTCAGACAAATTATCAATTCTCAACTTACTTCGAATCTAGACGATGACCAGGAATATAAATACGGCAAGTTTTACTTTTCCTATTCAACATAGCCTTTTCTACATTTGAACACTAAGTCTTTTTGTTGTGATACACTTATCTGTTAATCTCTAGTTTCCTGTTCATATTCGAAACTAAATATGAATTGAAGTTATTCATGTAGAGAAGGTAACGTGATCTCACCTGACGTTGTAGAACTCGGCAACAATCTGCGCGATGACGGAGTAGATGATCCATTGTGCGCCGTTGGAAGCGCTGAGCAGGATGAACATCGCCAGAATCGCCCATCGTCGTTTGTAGACACGCGGCTCCACCAGTTTCTCACTCTGAACGCACCACAAGGTACGGGGGCAGAACCAGTCAGTAATGCTCAGAACTCTCGGCTCTGCACTAGAAAGCCGCGATGGTGTGGTGGGGAGCACTTGGAAACGCGCCAGTGATGAGAAGCTAGACGGCTCTCAAAACACAGAACAAGCGCAAACATATGAGCGCAGGGTTTTTGTGGAGATTGCAAAATTCATGTCGAGCACATCGAAAATTTAGAGCCACGACACAATTTCCGCGATATACATGAACCAGAACACTGGTTATATCCTATGCTACTTTATTTGTTAAATTTGGGAATATTCATGGTGGCTTTATACTATGCAAATTAAGACAACATGTCGCTAAGTAAAGAGCGAGGCTGACGAGTCTTTGCAAATCGTTTTGCGCTTCGCAGTAATCAGGGGGGAACTTCTTCAAAACAATATGATTTTTCTATCTAGAGCTTATTTAGCATTATTTTGTAACTGAAATTCCAAAATCAAAGAAAATAGTGCGACTTCTGTTCGGAAGAAAGGAAAGATGTTTGGAATATTGAAAATATAGCAGCCGTTTCATTGAATCAAATTCCCACGATTGATCATCGTGCAGGAGTTTAGGTTCCCTCTCACCACCATCATCAAACTGCCCCAGACAACAGGCGAGTTCCTATTCGGACCTCTAAGGTAAGCCCTTTAGATGGAATGGACAGAAGCTACTGCAAGTACTTGAGAATCACAAATCACCCACGTAATAGTCGCTGGCGGAAGTCGTGCCCATGTGGCGACCACTGTTGACAGTGGATTGCGACGTCGTGTGGTTCGCTGCCACGACTGGATCTTTTGCAGAAACACGCCCACTTCCTGGCTGAAATCACAAGCATTAGTAGTGCAACATCTTCCAAATACGAGAGCATTTGAAGCAACATGAGACCGGTGAAGCAGCGGCAGCAGATGAAGGGTAGAGTTCTCGAAAAATGTGAAATTTTGAGGAAGCTGAGGTTATGCCACCACTTCACACCAGTCGAGGGGCCTTTTGAAACTACAAAGTTAGTAGCAGTGGTTCATGGAAATTTCTCGTTCAGTGACTCACTCTTCACCGAGTCTCCTTTTATGTTTGCCATTTAGATTTCTTCGAAGTTAAACAGAACTTTTAATAAATCGCAAATTAACCAAACTAGTGAAGAAATCTAGAAGCAAGCAATTATCCCACATACTTCCTATCAACTTCAGTTTAATCAATTTGGACGAGGTACATACAAACAAACTCGCCCGCTGGGTATATTCTCAAGTTTAATGAGTAGGTATTAGCTTAGACACAACGCTCCTGTAACATTCATGAAACCGATGTCTCCGAGAAAATTGATAGTTTACAAAAATGCGGTAAATAGTGTTCAAGGTGCGGATTCCATGACAGAGACTAAACGAGATGCACGACCAATCGTTCATCCACCTTTTTTCTGAGAATCCTGTTTGGTTGTAGAGATTAAAGGATAAAGGATAAAGCCTTCGGCATTAATCAATCGCTGAGGGATGCGCCATGCATTCGGCTTCATTAAGTATCGTTGGAGGTGATTGAATGAATATCTGACCTTTACAATAACTCGTGGTGCCCTACCAATGTGTCGAGTCAGTGCTGTTATCCTCCTAGACAAGTCTGGTACCAATTTGCCGACCCCGGAGGAATGGAGGGCTTGGTGGGACATGGGCGCGGTGATCCATTCACGTGTGTGTCGCAGTGGCGCCTCCAACCGCTGCGCCACACACGCCCTTGTAGAGATTAGCAGCTCCTAATCATGAGCTCAAGACAGTTGAAGGTTTATTCCTATTTTAACAAAACAAGGCACGTATAGGACTTCACGGCGCGTGTGGCGCAGTGGTCGGAGGCGGCCTGCAATGCACACTTGGAATCGATCCCCGCGCCCATGGCCCAGCAAGCCCTCCATTCCTCCGGGGTCGGCAAATTGGTACCAGACTTACCTCGGAGGATAGCACCACTGGCTCGGTACATCGGTAGGCCACCGCGAGTCATTGTAAAGTCCGGATATGCATTCAGTAAGCTCCAAGGGTTGCTTACTGAAGTCGAATGCATGGTGTATCCCACGGGGATTGATCAACGCCGAAAGCTTTATCCCTTTTATCCTTTTATAAGACTTCAACCTAATCCCAAAAGTCGTCTATGCTTATGCCCAGGATATCCGTTAAACCGAAGCGTACAATCTTCACTAGTCCCTGATGAAAATATGAGTAAAAAGCTCGCAAAAAAATTCTCCGGAGAAACAGGACTATTCGTATCTCTTCTCAATGTCCCCAGCTTTGAAGTGGCTCAAAAACTTAATTCGAGAGTGTCATAATACGGAGGCACAGCGATCGTAATAAGTGGAAAATGTGCTGCACAATGTTTCACACCACCGCCACCAAGCATCACAAGAAACGACGCTTGTGATCGGCTCATTCACATCTGTCAACAACTTTTTCAACAATCGTTCATCTGTAATGACGGATAACAAAATTTCCACAGATGTCCTAATAATATTACAACACGGAATGGATGATTTATTTCGGGCATTTTGCTTGCGTCTTTCGCCTAATACCTCCCGAAGTACGAAAAACGTCCATCTGTCACGAGTTCCTTTGTAAGTGTACTAAATCATCTCTGAGTTATCGCAATTTTCACGAGTTTCTTAGTTTCCTTGTTTTTTATCTCTTGTTCATCTCGGCAACACAGACGGCAACACGTAGTACAAGTAGATGAAGGGACAGTCGCAACTGCTCTGCAATAGCCATTGTGACGTATTGTTCTGTTGAAATCATTCTACTGCTCTTTCAAGGAGTTAAGCGACTTCAGTAGTGGTCACATTTCACTAAGGAAGTTCGACGCGGACGGCAAGTTCGCCGGTCTCGGTGAATGAGTGACAATGGCAAACAATGATGAGTAGCAGAAAGGCTGTTAAGTTCGCCAAGCATGGACTACTCATCCACACCTGACTGGGTTTACCGTTTGACCTTTGTAGCGTTACTTATTTCCAATGAGGAAATCACGTGCCTTACCAGAAGGAAGGAAACATACGTAGAGAATGCGATGCGCAGCGATACAGCGATAGGGCATCCTTCAGAAGTATTTCTGACTGGAATTTAACTTGGAATTCGTAATGACCGACGGACAAATGAAACCGATTTAATACCATCCAACCATCGGGGTTTGGTCTTATTTTAACCTTACTATGAATCGAAAACACATTCTGCTTAGAGAATGCATGAGATAAAATTTAGACTAACAGAGATAATCCCCATCACCTGCCTTTCCGACGATCGTCGACTAACTCGAACACGCGCCTCTAAAATTTTCATTTGTCGCATGCAAGAGCAGGTCGAACACTTTGTAGCACCTATCTTACCGTTGATCGTCGAGTGACTCGCTTGGGTGTCAGTGAAGCTTCCATTTCTCTCTGTTGCGTTCAAGAATAGCCCAGTTGGTTCTGCTCGTTCTAGAGACTTGTTGAGCAGCATATCTTTTCTCTATGGTTTTCGTGAAGAACTCTGACCGTCGGGTTGACAATATTCCTGTTGTGGAGGTGGTATTCTATGAGACCCAAAAGCAAACTGCTTTTTGTCCATCGGTTTCCGCATAGACGCATCACGTGCCCGTCTGGTTTTCGAAGGTTAGGCATGCATAGCTACGTCTCTAATCTTTGGTCAATGACATAGTTCGAAACATCGTATGCTCTCTCTCATACTTGAGTAGCACGCGTGCTTACAACGTCGCCCTCTTGCATGCGTATTCGGTAGCGTTCAGTGGTCTTTCACCTGCTTATCGACCAGATTTTCGACGCATACATTAAGGCAGGAAAGATAATAGAGTCAAAAAGGTGGGCAGAGAGTCGAGTGTTCCTAAACATCTTTACTATCTCGTCGATGCTCTTTTAAGCTCGCCAAGGCGCTCTCACTCAACTCTGGGGCTAACTGGACTCTGGCATTCATCATGTTGACTTCTCGACTCAAATAGACATAGCAGAAACATTGGAAAATATTCCATTGTGGTCAGTTAGACTTAAGGGACTAATCCATTTCTTATAAACATCGTCTTCTTGAGATTTAATCGAGGAGCAAACTTCCCAACAGCATAGCATTCGTGTTACCAGTCTAATGAAGATGCTATGAAAACATCATCAACGAAAGGACTAGCCAAGAGAAAAAATTGGCTATATGGTTAAAATAAGCAAAAATTGGCCTTTGCCCTGAAAAGTTTATGGAATAAACTTTGCCTTACCTCTCAGAAGTTACAAAGAGTTTTCATAAAATGACTAACTTCGTCTTACATTTATTTTGTGAAAATTACAAAAGCGATTTATGGGATTCTCAACCCAAGCATGGCAACTGCCCGACTGACGACACGTTCAGGCACATCATTATGCTGTGATGGACGAAATACCGCTCCATGGTCGCCCAAAGTAGAGGCTTCGGCGAAAAAAAGGGAAACAAACGATTTTGGAGCTCTCCGCTCTCTCATCATGGGTGAACAAGAAAGCTTCTAACTTGTAAGTAAAGATCTGTAGGTAGATTCATGGTATTAATTCGATTCAATAAAGTTTGAGATATGCTAGTCTAAGTTGAGATATATTGAACTTCAATGGCGAAATCGTTTCCAGATCACGAGGCATATTAACTCATACAGTCGTGAGAGCTGTTAATGAGCGGAATACAGAAGCGTCGTAGGAAGTAAACATCTATTAGAAGTTAAAAAAGTACGTGCGAATCACGACTTCTATTTTATTCTATTCATTACTGATTGTACAGGTGTGCAAATACTCGTAGAGATATGGAGCGTCCCGTTCTAGATCGCCTTGTGGTCAGTGTTGATACTTAGAAGTGTAGAAACTCGAAGTTCAGCCGAAGGGTCAACGTCAAAAAGGTTGCTTGGGCTGCGAAGTTACACGTTTTCATGCGCGCTCGATTGACAGGAAATCAAC